CCCCCCCCCCCACCTTACGCCTTGCATATGGACCTGATTGTGTCGAATATGATCGATTATGATCAAATAATAAATTGTCACTGCTTTTTAACTCAAAACTGTTTAATATAAAATAATTTTGTCAAATTTTTCCATATCGAGCCCATAGATTAATTAAAACAACAGATAGGACACTATATGTTTCGTTCACAATAACCCTGAGGCAGAATTCCAAGGTGTTACACGCGTAGTCGGCGTAGAACAGGCTCTCTCTCTGTAGAATTAAAAGACAGATAGAAAGCCTGTTCTAAGCCGACTACGCGTAACTCTTTTGGGTTTCTGCCTCAGGATTATTGTGAACGAAACACACATAAATTTTCAAAAGACGACATATAGTGTCCTATCTGTTATTTCAATTAATCTATGATCGAACCATTCTCTTTATTCAATTAAATCTAAAAACTCAGAACGAGATAATGAAAAAATATTTATAATTTATTTTTATGTATCTAACAAAAAATCTTGAATTATATGAATTGTTTGTTTTATATGGCATTTTATTATTATAACTATAGTGTGCTTAGAGTTTCAGGAAAAGTATGACGACATTTTAGGGAAACGTTGCAGTCTTTTCTCGCCTTGAACCAAAAACAAAGAGTATGAAATAGAAGAAGAAATATATGTCTGATGTACAATTACCGCGTATACAATAAGCTATTCTGAATATTTCTTATACAAATAAATGGAGTACCGTATGCAAAGCATGTATAATCATATGGTAGGGTGGGCCGCGTCAGTTGTGGGGGGGGGCAATTTAAACCCCCCCCCCATAGTTTTTTTTGCGTTAACTCAAAAAGTATTTGAGCCAGGAAGCTCAAATGTTCTGACTTTTCTAACTAACACATGCCCATCCCTTTAGGCTAAAATCTGAGCTTTTATACCTACTGCCGAAGTCCTCAGGCATACTGCCTAAATGCCTTATTTTACCTATACCATACTAAATCTATATTTAGACCTACTTCCAGTCATTGGATTTCAATATTTTATAGCTCTTTGGAAGCAACCTGATTGCAAAACTTTTGCGAAGAAATTTTGCACAGATTTTTGCGCCTTTAAAGGGAATTTACACATTTTCAGTTTTTCTTGAATACACATTTAGGTTTTAAAAATTTTGAAAATGTTTTTTGCATAATTTAAATTCGCTGGGTCAATGGCTTTTTAAAAATGTATAAATTGTTGCAATTTGCGCAATTTCTTTTTGCTAATTTTTTTCTTAATAACTAGATTTCGCAATAAATATTTGGATAGAGGGTAAATATCCTACCCCCACCCCTCCAGGGAACTAGTCATAAAACCAGACGTCAGGGTGAATAGCTAAATGTTTAATGGAATATATTTTTGTTTCGATTTTAAACTAGTTTAGTATGAATATGCTTTAAAAATTAAGCATAGTTGATTTAATAATTTTTATTCAACGGGTGAACATGTTTGCGTAAAGAAATGGGAAGATGAACTAAAGAAGAACATTTGAACAGGAATTAAAATTGTCTTTTGTTTGAGTTGAATATATATCCAACCGTCCTGTGTTATCATTTGGGACAATATGTTTTTTGTTGTTTTGTGATTTTTACTTTTTAACTTGTTTTGGGGTTTAAACAAACAAAAATGTAAATAAATAGATTTTTTTTCCGTACTAAACCATATGTATGTGTATTGCATTGTATAGTGCAGGGAGTGATGTTTGCCAGCTAGAAGATTAAGCAAAAATGTTCCTAATATTTTAGTAAAATCTTTGATTAGGAGGTGGTAAAGTGGTAAAGTCCCCTAATTCTAGTAGGTATACATACATAAAAAGATTTCAGTCAATTTTCAAACGGAAAAAGTGTACAATCTGTTTTATATACAATTTGTCCTTTGAATTGTTTTCCTACAAAAAAAAACACTATATTTTAGTGAAGAATTTGAAATCATTTCACCTTAGAAATTCCCTGTAACATCGTGAGTAGCTAATTTTATTAGTTATAACCCCCTCCTTATCTCAAAATTAATTTGAATAATTAACAGTTTTTGAACATTTGAATCACGAAATGTTGTTTAGGGATTTTTTGGGGGAAATGTTTATCCTTTGTTTCCTAGGTTTGTCCCTGTAGTTGATCCTACAGTTCTCAGATTAAGGTTGATAACGATACCCTGGATCCGCCCTTATATAGTTCTTGATAAAGCCAGAGATGAAAACTGAATTCGTCCCGCCCTCACTCAGATCAAGCCAAGGCTTGTTCAAGCATAGATTGGAAAGATGAAGGTTCGGATAGAAGACTCCGTATCTCTCCGGATCTATATACTTCCACTTCATCAATCTTTCAGCATCATTATATACGATTCAGGGCAATACATTCAAATTAATTTAGTCCTCAGGTTCATGCAAGAGGATAAATCAGTCCAACTTTCCTGTTGGAGCTCTATACTGGAGAAGGTTGGGTTGAAGATGATATCCTGGGGGTAGATGAGAGTCTGAAGCAGTGAACCAAACCATAAATTGAACCCTGTAATACAGGTAAATATTAAAACCAGCAAATTGTAGGGATGGACGAGGTAGGATTTGGAAGACCTACTTATCCTATATCCTGAGTAGCTAGATTTACCAAAATTATATATTATAAACGGTTCAGCAATATCATGCTTTCAAAAGAATAAGCTTAATTTGAAAAAGTGAAATCGCTGTAATTTCAACTTTTTCCATTTTTAAATTTCTTATATTGGACAATATACAATGTGTTATGTTATTGTGAATATATTAAAAGCTAAAAGAAAAAAATTGCGGAAAAAATAGCAATAAGAAGAATCGATAAGAACATTAGAAATTTAGGGAAAGAGGAAAATAAGAAGAGTGGATGGATACCAAATAACTTCGTCTACGGGGGAAAGAAGAAAAATAAAGAAAAGAAGGAAAATTGAAGGGAATTGAAGGGAATTGAAGGGAATTGAAGGGAATTGAAGAGAATTGAAGGGAATTGAAGGTAATTGAAGGGAATTGAAGGGAATTTAAGGGAATTGAAGGGA